TTTTTTTTAAACAAAGTACTGTTCAGCGATGCGGCAAAGTTCTCCAATAATGGCTCTGTTAACAGACATAACTGTCATTACTATGTTTTAGAAAATCCACATTGGATCAGACAAACACATTTTCAAGAAGTTATTTCAGTAAACGTCTGGTGTGGTATAGTGGACGACTACGTTGTTGGACCGTACTTCTTTGATGGAACATTGACTGGAGAACGATATCTTCATTTTTTACAAAACGCATTAGCATTGTTACTGGAAGATATTCCTTTACAAATTAGAAGAGATATGTGGTTTCAGCAAGACGGTGCTCCTCCACATTATGCACGAAACGTGCRACAGTACCTAGACGAAACATATCCGAGAAAGTGGATTGGAAGAGGAAGCATTTACAACTGGCCACCTCGAAGTCCTGACATGACTCCGTTGGATTTTTTTTTTATGGGGAACTGTTAAAGACAAAGTTTATCGCACTCCTTGTCGAGACATGGAARAATTAAAAAATAGAATTCGTGCCGCTTGTGCTGAAGTAACTCCAGATATTTTAGCAAGAGTACGCCGGTCATTCATAACTCGAGTTCAAACATGCTTGCGAAATGATGACCATCATTTGGAACATTTGTTACGATAGTTTTAAGTTTGGTCAACAAGTTATATTTACGTTTCCTTGTTTTGCTGAATTCATGACAAATATAAATGCTTTTGTTCCTTTAGCCGATGTAGCAGTTTCAAAATCATTTATTTTTTATCGCAAATGAGTAATTTTTACAAAATGTTCGGACAGACGTCGATATATTTTTTGGCATTTTGGAGAATCAAGGGATATCCAAAATTACTACTAATAATTTTATAGAATCTAGTTATTATTGGAAAGTGTATATTTGGTTGCATTTTAAAGCTCGTCAGGGTCGTAGTCTTACGTGGGCCACGCTGTATAACGATGAAGAATTAAAAAAATGTGAATTACAGATGTTATAAAATATATGAAAGAGAATGAATCGCAAGACATTTTCCCTCAGGTTTTCAAATTGGCCAGTTTGATTTTTACTTTGCATGCTATTAATGTTTCGGTGGAGAGATTTTTCGTGTCTCAAACGAAATAAAATACACTTGAAGAACAAAATTGATCAAGATAGACTGTCATCGCCAGGGTTGATCAGCAGGCATAGGCAAATATGTTAATGAAAAACATACAACCAAGAGACGGCGCCACTTGCTTTTATTTACAGATTTCTGTAAATTACCACAAACAGTAGTAAACAGAAACTACTAGTGCCATCTCTTGGTTGTATGTTTTGTTTTTACTTAAAAAAATACAGAATATAAAGCAATCTTTGGATATTTGGCGCAAAATATCAAAAAACACTTTTCAATCAACTTTCACTAGTATGGTTCAAATAATTTCCCAGTTAWTTTTTCCCTTTCGAGTTCGAATTATTTGTTACATACTTTGTTCGTGGTATGCTCTTTTCATTGTGTGTTTAAATTTTGCTAAGTTTCGTTATGGTATCTACTTTTAAGGTAGAATTATTCAAGTTTCAAGTTTTCAAGTTTTGAAATAGGTAACACTCTCCTAAAAGATATCCAGCAGCAATGCTCCTCAAGAGAATCTTGAAACTACGGGTAAGAGTCCAGAAATTTGGGGACATGTGAACTGTCGTCAAAATTTGAACAGGTAAAAACATAATTAGAAAGGAAAATTTTCGAATTGTGGTCTGTTTCTAGAACTAGGGGAGATTTTAAGCTCTTTTACAGCTAATGTCATCACACTTGGACGATATCACAAGGGCTTTGCAATGTAGGGTTAGACTCTGAGAAATTTTTATTGATTGATTCTAAAAACACGGTTGTAGAATGAGAAAAGAATGATTTTTTAGGTAACAAATAAGTTTTGACTGAACGTCTCTCTAATAATGTGTCCTCCGCTGTGATTTTGACCGCAGTTCAAACAGAGATTCTGTCAGTCCGGATAGGCTAAAACACTTTGTACCGTAATTCGGTGGTATGTACCGAGAAATTTTTGCTCAACATTTGRRGGAATTGATAATGAGACAATAATCAAGAATCTGATTCCAAAGTAAAGTATAAGAAGTTCAAACAAAAAATTTACACGATAATGTCTTCGCAACAGTTTTTTGGGCTAAAGAAGGACTTTTGCTATTAAGGTTTATACTACCTAAGACGATCATATCAAAAGGAAACTATGCAAAATATTTTAAAGTTTTGTGTGATTCTATCAACTTGAAAAGGCATGAAATCCACACGTCAGATGTACTGCTCTTTCACAAAAACCGACTGGAGCATATATTAGCAAATGTACAGRTCGCCATCTAAATGTGTAGTGCCCAGCAGTGTAACCATTTACTCTACAGTCCTAATCTATCTTCTTTCAGTTATATTTTGTTGGAAACTATCTTGAACGGCAGGATTTTTTAAGAATGCAGGAGCCACCAGTCAAAAATGTAAAAATCAAATCCATTTACTTAGTAATTTTAGAGAATGCTATCATAATGTGTGGTACAATTTTGTTAAATGCATAAATAAACAATTTCAGTCCATTGTATGTGCTTCTTTATGTCTTGATCATAACCAAAATATTATTATGAAACACATATAACTAATTTTATTGAAAATTTTGGTTATTTGTGTTTAAGTTGTAATAGGAAAATTAAAATTGAATGATAAAGTATTTAAATTTGCCGCCAACTTTAGTTCAACATACAAACAAGAGGCGGCGCTAGGCTTGAAATTTTGACGACCGGAAAATTGTGTGTTWCWTGATTTTCTATATTGAGTATATTCTATGGTCATCGCTTAGTTTAATTTCAATTGAAAAACGTTTACTGTTTTCGATTATCAATTCTGAGCAAAAATTTAGTTGTAGACAAAATTTCAAGAGTTAAAAATAGGACGCTTGAATTAGAATATAAAAGATATAAAAAAATGTAATTGTAATTTTTCCAGTCATTTTACGCCTCATTAAAAATTTCACCCGAAATCCGCTAGTGCTTATAAAATAGTCACTTACCTACATCTCCTAGAAATCCTGTTCTCCGATATTCTAAAACTGCACATCTCAGGTCGGCACAGAACTTTGTCTCAAATGTAGAGAACAAACACAAAACCATCACCACAAAATGTACAAAAAAGCTGTTCAACAGGAAATAATTAAAATTCTTGGGCCCCACACAATAAAATAACATACCTAACCTCAAAACCCGGAAGTAGTTTTTCACAGCATTCTTAACACTTTTAAAAGTTTAAAACACTTTACAGCACGACTTTCTTAAACCGATTTGTGTTAATATTTAGTTAGGCTTAATTTCAGTGGATGATAACCGTCAACCAACCYAGACCRGATGTCGACTCCATAGGAGCATGAGTAGAGCTCTTTGGCGCCTCGACTCCTCCGTCGGTATTACAGGCGGCTACAAACTGWACCAACTAGCAAAAGAGCTAACCTTCTAGTTACCAATATTCTAAACTAGGCAACACATTAAACTTGTTTAAAACACGGAATTCGCAAAATACGATAGAAGACTGATGCATTTATAAACACCCACTGAAAATATACGGCTGCATGTAGGCTGCCATTTGGTAATCAATGGTACCAATAACTAAATAACCAAAAGAATTTTAGTAATATCCCTAGTAAAATGAGTATAAAGTGTTTTGTAAGTTGCATAACGTAAGCAAGCCAAACGTGATCAAACCAATAAATAGAACAAAAGTTCTTTTTATTATGTTTTTAGAATTCATTACTTTAACCAACTAATTTTTCTTAATGTTACTCTATATTATTCAATGATTTAATCATTGAATCTTATACAACAGTTCGATTTCATTTACTGGTAAARCAGTTTAATYAGTCGATTATTGGAACCCCAGTTAGAAAAACGCTTTCGAAAGCAATAATATTTATGCATCAATAAAAATTATTATTAAAATTATTTATGTTATATTTATTTCTATTCCGTATTGCTGAGGATAGGTAAGTAAGRTGATAAYGCARAAATAGCTAATTACATTATACGTGGGGTCGGTATAATTTTAGAGCGTGAAGTTTTAATATTGAAGGTCGAAGCAAAGCAGAGAGCTTTAATAAAGCTCACCGCTTTAAAATACCTAAAGCACAAAACTTTTTGGCGTGTTAATTTAAATTTTGATTTGTCAACACGTGACGGGCTAGACGTTTACTATTTGCACTACGAGATGGCGTTAAATAAAATTTTATCTAAAAAAATAAATTGTATTTGTTCTTGAATACTAAACAATTAAATTTGTGCGGTAATTTCATTCAGCATTAATGCAAARACTAAATTTTTTTTGTTATTTACAGGATGCCAATTTTATCTGTTCCCGCCTGAAAAAGCAAAGAAGGCAACATAGTCGGTGCTTGACTATAAAAAACTTCAAAAAAAAATTAAAYTCAAAGCTCAAATGCGAAACAACATTTCAATGGAAACAACAGCAAAAAAATTACAAATTAATGTATTATTRGTTGCCTATCTATAAAATTWAAGAAAATAACAAATAAAATGGGCATCCTGTATTTGTAACACGGCCTTTTGGATTGCTAAGAAAAGTKTTTATTATACGGCCCCTCACTTCAGCAAAATGTCTTTTTTTGAATGACAAATAGGGTGTACCGTGCGCCGTCTATTARATATAAATTTAAACATTTAAACTTAYCSTAAATCAGCAACTGCAACAACACATGTGTAACGTCGGAKGCATACTTTAATTKCTATATWTTTTTTTAATTGCAAGAGATGTAAACAAAGTTTGTATCTTTTGAGTACTTTATTCTAAAGTTTACATTGGTTTACGTTACTATTGAATAAGGTTTTGTATGGCACACGTGTGTATTACAAATAAGTCACTCACGAAAAATGCCCATCCTACTCGTCTTGGTGTAAACCATGACTTATTTGTAATATAACACACTTGTACAATAAATAACTATTATTGCTTACATACTCGTTTCATTATTAATTAATTAATTATTCAATTAATAAAATACAGGGTTTTTCATGAAAGGGTTATTTCTKATTTTTCTGCCGCAACCAACAATACCAATATCACTAACTGCTATAATAAATTAGAATTCAAAGTAAGTGGGATAAATTTGACAGAAATGTCAGATTGACAGGTAACCTATATTTAATCAAAATTCAACAAATAAATTAACAAGTTTAAGTAATGTAAAAGGTGTTCGAATTCTCTACCATCGGTTTCTAAACATGCGCCTAGGCGGTTATTAACGATAACAAAACATGTCGTATCGTTTGAGAAATGATTTTTTCTGTTTTAGTGTCAAAGAGAGAAGACCATATTTTCAGTTATAATTATTTTCAAAATTTGAAATCAAGAAATTGTTGCAATATGTATAATGGGTTGCGGCAAAAACAAATTCAGAAATAACTGCCTCGTGACTATCCCTGTACAGCATAGATGAGATATTATAAGTAGGCTGTACAGATAGATATAGGTTATCTGTCAATCTGACATTTCTGGAAAATCTATCCAACTTATTTTGATTTGTAATTTAAAAAGAATAACATTTAATTTAGCAGTTATTGATGTTGGTATTGTTGGTTGCGGCAAAAAAAWTTTCAGAAATAATCCTTCYGTGAATARCCCTGTATATTTTTATAATGAAAAAAAGGAAAGAAGATAATACAAAACGTTAAAAAATAAAAAACTTTATTCGTTTTCAAGAATCAATATCAACTTCTTTATTGATAAACTTAAGCTGATTTTCTCCATGTGCGGCAATTATGTGTCTTTTCCGTCTGCTGGAATCACAAAATCTTTTTTCACACATATGACAGGGATAGGGTCTTTCTCCGGTATGAAGCCTCATATGAACAGTTAAATTGCCCTTCAATGTAAACWGTTTTGCACACACGTTGCATTGAAATGACTTGATTCCCTCATGAAGAAGATTATGATACATCAAATGCGATTTTTGAATAAAAGTTTTAGAACATACAGTACATGAATAAGGGCGTTCTCCTGTATGCGACCGCATGTGAATCTCTAAATAGGCTGGAGATGTAAATCTAAAATATATGAAATAAAATAAARATATTATAAGCAGACCCTAGTTACTTACGTTTTATCACATTGAACACAAGTGCTTGTCTTTCTAGGGTAGTAGTGAACTAGACAACAATGCATGTGCAAAGATCGTTGGCTCTCAAAGCTTCTTTCGCATTTATCACATTTAACRTCATCTTCAACATTTTTCTTAATACTGCTCTTTTTTCTTCGCGTTTGATTTTGGTGGTTACGTTCATGTTCCAACAAACTACTACGTGACTCGAATCTTTTACCACAGAAAGAACACGTATATGGTTTATTCCCAGTGTGCGAATTTATGTGATCATCGAGTTGAACTTTTGTAGTGTACCCTTTAACACAGAGAAAACATTAATRTAAAAATAGAAACCTAGCCAATGAGTTAAAAAGTTAATTTTAGGAAAAATTATATGAATACACATTTCCCTGATTTTTTGCAAGGATCAAAAACCGTATAAGAAAAATAAAACTACAATTAAAATTCGAGTTAAATAAATATCGTATGATTAAACAATTTTTAGATCAAAGYAGACTTTTATAGTTCAGAATCACAGTTCTAATTTACAGATCATTTAACAAATAGTGACAGTATAATTTTTTGTGAACAAGCAGACTCGACTTTTGTTTCTCAGTCAATATTAACCCCGAATTTAGTTGATCATCGATACTTACTTCTTTTGCATCCTGTATTCAGATAAAATCAAGAAACGTAAAAAAAAACTAAATACAGGGTGTGTCAGAACTCGCGCCCCAGAGATAAATTTCAAATAAGATACTAGTAACATGAAAAAAATGTTTCAAAAATTGTATCTCTCAAAAATTTTGACATTTATTTTTCGACAGTCTTTATGTCTATTCAATGACACTGATTGTCTTGTATACTCTTTTTCATATTAATGTGCATCAAGTAGGTTGTAGAAGTCTAAATGAATCTTTAATATAAAGACCGATTTACACAAAAAGTTTCATTAATAAAGTGTCATTCAGAACAAGTTTAATCACATCAATAATGACAAAAATCTTTATGTTTGCTATCCTATGTTAATTACGTTGTTAATTTTAATAATTTTTTGCTACATGAGGTTCACAATTATTTGAAAAAAATATTTTTAGGAAAGTTTGAAGTTAGTATTGTTTGCATTGCATGGTTGCCACCTTAAAATGATCTCTTTCAACGACTACTTCGATGCACATTAATTTGAAAACGAGTATATAGGGTGACCCAGGGGTTCGTGCACGCTCTATAACTTTCTTTCTATTCAAGTTATCAACATTATAAAAATATTTCTATTCATATACAGGTTGTCCCAAATAAGATACACAACTAAGTTCCGWTTTTTTTAAWAAAAACCCCAATTGTTTATTACATATATGGATTTGCCACTAAATTGTTAATATAACGCACCTTGGTTTCTTAGACTTACCTGCAATAGTTTTTGACTTATGCCAATTTATGTGTCAAAATTGCATCGTGCATAGACCCACAAAAAATTCATAACTTCAAAGCTATTCAAGACAACTTAACCAATCTTTTTCCAGTCGATTCCTTAAGCTTTAGCACATCTTATAAAAAAAATATATACTGTTGTATTTAGAAAATTTATTGCGATTTGTATTTTGTCATTTTCRAAAAATCGTAGTACGCGATGGAACATCGACTCCGAGTTTGCCTTTATCTCAGAAGTCAGAAGACGCGCTAAAGCTTTAGGAATCAACTGGAAAAAAGTTGGTTAAATTATCTTGAATAATTTTGAAGTTATGAATTTTTTTGTGGGTCTATGTAATTTTGACACAAATTGGCATAAGTCAAAAATTATTGCAGGTAAGTCTAAGAAACCAAGGTGCGTTATATTGACAATTTAGTGGCGAATCCAGAAATGTAATAAAAAATTGGGGTTTTCATTAAAAAAAACAGAACTTAGTTGTGTATCTTATTTGGGACAGCCATGTATATAAATAGAAATATTTTTATAATGTGCCTCATTGTTGTATCTATCCTTTAAAAAAAATTATGTCGATAACTTCGATATAAAAAAAGTTGTTGAGCATGCACGCACACCTGGGTCATCCTGTATATGTTTTTTTTTATAATTATTTTGAAAATAAAAGCCACAAATAACATTAAACAGTTACAATATAGCCTGTAGCAAAAGAACTTAAAAAAATATTTTTCCAATATACAGGGTGCGCCAGAACTCGCGCCCCAGAGAAAAATGTCATATAAGGTAAGATACCAGGATCATGGAACRAATGTTAAAAAAAATTATCTATAAAAATTTCGAAGTTATGAGGGTTTAAAGTTTACACTTTGACTCTATTTATTTCTGTTGGAAAAATAATTTTCCAAGTTTTTTTGATATATGCTATTAAAAGAGGAAACAAGGAAGCTGAATCCTAAATTGTAAGTCTGTTCAATGTCATATGTGGCTTTTATTGGCAAAATTTTTGTCACTTTACTAAATAATTGTAAAAAAAACATACCTATACAAGACCATCAGTATCATTAAATAAATATAAAAAAATGTCAAATGTCAAAAAATAAATGTCAAAATTTCTTGACAGATAGAATTTTTTAAACATTTTTTCCATGTTCCTGGTAGCTTATCTTACTTGAAATTTTTCTCTGGGGCGCGAGTTCTGGCGCAGCCTATAGATAAATAGAGCCAAAGTACAAAATTTACTCTCATAACTTTGAAAGTTTTATAGATAGAATTTTTTAAATATTTTTTCCTTGTTCCTGGTATCTTACCTTACATGGATGGCATATTTCTCTGGGGCGCGAGTTCTGAAACATCCTGTATTTACAATTTATTAGTGTAATAATCTAATAATATCGAATAATCGATGCATTTAGTCTCTTACCTTTTCCACAATATTCGCACATAAACATTTTCCCGAGTTTATGTACAGTAAGATGTCTTTTTAAATTCGTCTCAAATTTAAACATTTTAGAACAAATATGACACATGTATTTAAGAAATTTCTCATGCAGCGCAAGATGGTGACTCTTCAAGTAATATGTCGATTTAAAACTTATATTACATTCTGCACACTTAAAATTCCTTGGACGACAGGCTCTGCTGGTTTTATAATGATCCATCATTTTAGTAATAGTGTCACCACATTTGGGACAAATTTTTATTTTTTTTGAGTCAGGTTTACTAGGTTCATTTCTCCTCGTCTCAGATTCGTCTATGCTATCGTTAACAATACGTCCAGGTTCAGGTTCAGGTTTAGAATTGACATTTTCATCACTTATCTTCTTCGTTGGACGACAGTTTTTGTTGGCTTTATAATGATCAATCATTTTAGTAACAGTTTCGCCACATTTGGCACAAGTTTTTAATTTCTTTGAGGCAGGTTTACTAGGTTCATTTCTGATCGTTTCAAATTCATCTTTGCTATCGTTAACAAACTGTTCAAGTTTAACTTTAGAATCCACAGTTTCAATTTCATCATTTTTTTTGTTCGTTGGAGAAGAGTTTTCGTTGGCTTTATAATGATCAATTAATTTCTTTGAGTCAGGTTTACTAGGCTCATTTCTGCTCGTTTCAGATTCGTCTTCGCTATCGTTGACAATAATAGGTTCAGGTTCAAGTTCAGACTTCACATTTTTAATTTCATGATTTTTCTTGTCTACCAGTATTAGTATTTTTATTTTCTCACATCCAATTTCAAGCTGCTTTAAAATATTTTGGGAATGTTTGCATTTTTCAATGAAAGATGTGAAGTTAAACATTTCTTGCAAACAATGTTCGCAAACATTTTTTGGTAACGTGTGGTTTAACTGTACCTAAAATAGAACTCTTAAAATTATCATTTAATCAATTATTCATTATACATACCTGCAGAAAACTTAAAAGAGGGAAACTTATATTTGTAAGTGGTTCAAGCCTTCCTTGATTTAGACATAACCTACAAATGTCGTAGAAATTTGCTGCTATTTTCACAGTGTTAGCAATGTGAGCAAATTCGTTTTCCATTTTATCGCATAAAAATGATAATTTTCATTGAAACAAACTAAAAAACCGGTGAATGCCGTGCAAAGAAAAATATCAAAATCAAAATTTGTTTAGGCAACCCACACAACTTGATGTTTATTATTCTGYCACAGATTAGACTATCAGATGTGACACTCGCTAACTTGACGCTTAGTTGATCTTGAACATGCTTTGATTTTGCAAAGGAAAAACATTTTTTGCTTTATCTGAAACRAGCAAATCTGTACTTACACTCCATTTGATTCAGTAAAAAGAAAAGTTAATTTTTCTCTTGATTTTGGACTAATTTTTCTCTGCTTTTAAGTCCTATCACGTTGGCGGTTTTATTTATTTGAAGGGTATACAGAGACATTTTTTTAGTATACATAGCCCTATGCACGATTCACTTCTACAAAAACTGGGTTTCTTGGCTTCATTGTTGCTCTTAAATCTGTAATTAATATATTTAAGAAATTTATTGATGAAAATAGTAACACGCCTTATTTAAAATATTTACCAGTTTAAAAGTGCAGYCAAGATCATATTGAATTTTTTTTTAGTTATTTGAGATTATGTGGCGGCTGTAATGACAATCCCACTTGTACACAGTTTAAAACAGCTTATAAAAAACTGCTAATACACAGTGAACTAAGTAATAGAGCATTAGGAAATTGCATACCACTGCAACAAATTAATATATTAAACTGTTGAAGTATTCATTTAAAAAGGATCCGTTAAAAACACAAAGTAATTTAAACTTAGAAACAGGTGATCTATTTTGTCCAAACRTGAATATTTATTTAAATCTAAAATGCTATCACAATTTATTGAAAAAACGGTTGTATATACAGGGTGCGCCAGAACTCGCGCCCCAGAGAAAATTTTCAAGTAAGGTAAGATACCAGGAACATGAAAAAATGTTTAAAAAATTCTATCTGTCTGACATTTATTTTTTAACATTTGACATTTTTTATGTTTATTTAATGATACAGATGATCTTGTATATGTTTTTTTTTTTACAATTATTTAGTAAAGGGACAAAAATTTTGCCAATAAAAGCTACAAATAACATTGAACAGAGATACAATTTAGGATACAGCTTCCTTGTTTCCTCTTTTAATAGCCTATAGGAAAAATATTTGTTCAACAGAAATAAATAGAGTCAAAGTGCTTACTTTAAACCCTCATAACTTCTAAATTTTTATAGATAAAATTTTTCTAACATTTTTTCCATGTTTTTGGTATCTTACCTTATATGGCATTTTTCTCTGGGGCGCGAGTTCTGGCGCACTCTGTATAGCAGGATTTGTATCTTTTAAATTAGGAAAAGTGTTACAGTGCGAAAAWTGTGTTGCGTCATTGTTTGGACAAGAAGAAAATTTAATAGGTAGTCTTATAGATTTTAAATCAGGAGGTAGACTGTTATCCTAATGGCGATGTAATTTTTATTTGTAAATAATTTGAAAAACAATTTCGTATTAATGCGAGAATAATTAATTCAAAAATTAATATAGATATTAAAAATTGTGCACAACGTTATAGAGTTTGTCCATTCGAAATCATTATTTAAAAATCATAGAAATGAGCACTATTAA